CACACACACACACACACACACACACACACACACACACACGCTCCATACATGAACATACCATTCAACACTCAGGTGAAGAGCTGAATGAATGTTTGCTGCCTGGGCTCCATAAATGTTTGAGCAGCCAGGAGCTTCCAGAAGCAGGTAGCTCACTCCTGCTCCTGCATCCTCACTGACGATGCAGGAGCATCGTACCGGCAGGAAACAACACTTCCTCCCTCCTCTTCATCCTCACACTCCTCATCGTCCTTCTGTTTAAGCAGGACTGTGGATCCAGATTTATTTATGGCAATATTTCTATGACTAAAAGAGCATGGAGCATCACAGGAAAGTATAGAGTGTTGGTGAAATACTAGTGCTTCATTATGGAAAAAGCCCTCAGCTAAAGTCACACACCTGTGGACTGGAACTCAGTAATTTGGATTAATTCTCTTCATACAACACTGATCCAACCATGACGCACAGGACTCTGGAAGTAAGAGAGGTAAATGAAATCAACACATTTATTTCTGCACTTGTGTCAAAATTGATATTTAGCTTGTTTTAGAACTGAAGCATCTTTGATGATTATTTCATATTTAAAGATAAAACAGGGAAAATTGGTCTCTTGAGTTTATGCTTGAGTGTTTTAAATATATCAGATTTATGTGACTTAAAAAAAAAATCATTATTCTGAAGATTTTCAGGAACTAGATTAAATATGGATTAAGACAAAAGAACCAAAGCTCCTCAGATGTTCTGAGAAAGTGCATCTCTTTCCGTAAAACATTAAAAAATGTGTTTCACGGAGAATTTTCACCCAATGCAGCATTTTACTTTGCAGGTTTAGCCTTTTTTCATAAAGCTACAGCAGCTAAAAGCAAGAGTAAAATAATCTTTTGTTCACCACACAAGCAGAGACAGATACATGTGAAACAGAGCCAACAGAGGCTGGTGAAGGTCGGGTTTCTTCAGACACCTGCAGCCCCCCTAAACGTGTGTTGCCCCAGGTGATGTGTGTCAGTCAGTGGCCCACGAGGAGCGCTATCTCTTTCAGGATCCTAACAGCCACTTTGTGGCTGCGTAACAGGATCTACTACCATGCTGGATGGACAGGGACAATGTGGCGTCCTCTCAGGTGATGTTCTCTAGGTCAGATAGATTTTCCTGTTTCCTGTTCACTTGACATGTTTATACTGTATGTTTTTTTTTTCAGTTTTCAGTAATTGGTTGGGACTTAATTACTCTGCAGCGCTTTGTTTAAACATAGTAACAAAAAGGAAGGTCTTTTCTTTTTTTATTTTATTTGTGTCTGCCCTGAGTTCATCTGAGGTCACATTTCCTTTGAATGACAATTGTTTTCCCTACTTGATGACACTTGATAACTTAGAAGCTCAAAGAAGCATGAAGAGCGAACAGGATGGATATTCTTAAACATGTTGTATTTTTATTAAAAAAAGTGATCAGTAAAGACATTGCAACCATACAAAACTTCATCTTAATGTAAAAGAATACATCTATGCATGTTCTGATTTTATTTTATTTTTATTTTTTTAATTACTGATGCAATCTAAAGAACATAAAAGCTACATAAAAAAGGGTAAAGAATTTCAGGACCTAAAGACATAATATTATTTTAAAGAAAAAGCGCACATCTGTCTTCATAGCTCATTATTAAAAACAATATGAGAGTTTTTTTCCTATTGAAAATGTAAACTGAGTGATGTTGGGTTGAAATTGAGGTATTTCAACATATTATTTTAGAAAGAAAGTAAAGATAGCCTGGATTCTGACTCTTTTTTTTACTTCAACAAACAAAAATAAGCTTTCACATAAAGACATGTTTAGAAATAGAGTTACATCCTTTGTTGCACGCTCACATTATAATTTATGACTTCCTATTAAAGGAAGCAGAGACTGTAATCTGTCCGAGTTTCCTGTGTTCGTTCAATAAAACCAGATGTTCAGTTCAGTTTGCTTCAGAAATAAAACGGCCAACATTAAAGACCCTCCAGGTAGGTATATTATTTGTTTATTATTTCTTTTCTTACCATTAATTAACCAGACAAATCCCATTGAGATCGCAATTCTCTTTTGAAAGTGGGACCTGGGTATGAAGGCAAACTATTTGCTATATGTTCTTTTTGCAAAGAGTTTTTAAACATTTTAACATTTTTATTTCCACGTGTTGTGTTCAGTGTTTAGTTTTGTGTTTAGAAATGGTTTCTTTCAGTTCAAAATCGCTGTAACGTCCTGCTGTCAGTAGATCAGCAGCTCGTCAGTCTGAGTAACTCTGACTTGGTGACGGGTCAGCTTGGCAGCTATGAATACCAAATTACTGGAACATGATCCCAGACGGCTCCTTCATGGCATCGTAATTAAAGCGCAATGGATTATTACCTGGCAGAAATCGAGTTGTGTATTAAGTAGTTTTGTTTACGCATCTCATAACGACCAGTTGACTGTGCTTTATTTGTTGTGAGTGTTCGTGAAACCTGGGCCTATGGCTAAAAATAATGACTAGATTGTATTGAGCACGGATGTTCTGTTGTTGTAAACAAGACTGATGGATCTGTAGAAAACATGAAGGCAGATAAGATAGCAGAGGCTGAATTTAGAGCCGACGTGTGCATAGAGGATGTGACCAAGGCCGCTGACGGGATAGAAGCAGAAAACGCAGGCAGTGAGTCGCCTTTTGGGAAATGTAATTTACCAGAATTCTTAGCATGTGTGTGAATGTATCCTGCAGCACTGACAGATTTATAAAGCAGGGACATAAACTATAATAGTCTATCATGCCATGCCTCTTTTTGTGCCATTTTATATTTTGGATCTGGACCAAAAAATGCAATTTTCTAACCTTCTGAAGTGGTCTCGAGCCACAGCTCATCTGAAGGTTTTTCATATTTTTCTTTCAACTTTGGCGGCTCATTGTCTCATTGAGCTGCTGAATGCCTGAACATGATGACATGGCTTTTCAGTATATATAGTGTTTTAAAAACCTGAACAAAAAAACGAAACAAATGGTAGAGAAAAAAACTTAGGCCAAAATTATAATCTACAAGAGCGAAGTCTCAAACAATGATATCCTTCACGTTCTGTGTCAAATGTCAAATTAAATTGTCTTTTTTTTTAAAAAGAGGCAGCTAAAGAAATGTTAAAAATTTTTGCATTTAGACAAACTCTTTATAACAAAGTGCCTAATGTTTCAGGTTAAAGTTTCGTTGCTACATTGTGTGTTATGCAGGTTTATTGTTTGACATTAGGAGGAAATGAGTCCAAATCCAAACCTTCAGAAATCCTGACAAATTAATATTTAAGGTTACGTCAAAAATTACAAAAAAATTTGCCATTTTGGGAGCATAAAATAAAAAATTGCAGGTGGGAGGACATCTGGGGATAGGACTGACTTGTTGCTGCTTTGCTCACAGAGCCTGGAGGAGCGGTGCAGCCGGATCCTGAGGAACATGGAGGCCTCTCTGACGGCCCGGGATCGCGTGGGCATCCAGGACTTTGTTCTCCTGGACCCCTACACGAGTGAGAGTGCCTTCCTGGACAACCTGAGGAAACGCTTCCATGAGAATCTCATTTATGTGAGTTTTTTTTCCCTCTGTCCTTCCTGGGGGGTCTCACTTTGAATACCCCCCTCAGTTTAACCCAACATCGCCCCCTTTTTGACCTCCAAACCCCTCTTTGTCCCAACACCACACCAACTTCTGCTGAGATGGCAGCTCTGGTTCATTTAACGTGCAGAGTGAGCACTCAGAAGGTCACCACAGGACAAGTGATTAACTTAACTTATTGCTGTTGATAAAGGACAAACCTAAATATAAGCAGAGGAACGATGCATCGATATCGTTTAACGTCATGAGATCATTAAAAAGAATTGTTTTTATTGTCAAATGTGCAAGCGTGGCAGAGTGAGAGTTCACGTCCTTGTCTTCTTTCAAAGACGTACATCGGGACTCTGCTGGTGACGGTGAATCCGTATAAAGAGCTGGACATCTACAGCCAGAAGCAAATGGACACCTACATGGGAGTTAACTTCTTTGAACTGCCGCCTCATATGTGAGTTTTATTGTTCTTGTTTCATGCAAACAGGGAGCTTTAATTCTAAAGGAACTCATCCAGGAGCTTTAGACACCTGTGGTAATGGTCATTGGGTCGGTAAATAAACAAATCCATTTTATTGGGCTTTTTGTCCAAAAAATGTCCAAGAAAAAAAAAGTTGTGCTTCATCTTTGAAGTGAAACAAACTTGAGTTTTTTTGTTAATGAACTCGTCCTTACATTTCCAGCTACGCTCTGGCAGACAACGTCTTCCGCACCATGCAGTCTGAGTCCAACAACCACTTCATCCTGATCTCTGGGGAAAGTGGGGCTGGAAAAACGGAGGCCTCGAAAAAAATCCTTCAGTTCTACGCCGTCAGCTGTCCAAGTACCAAAGTTCTGAACAACGTCCGGGACAGGCTGCTTCTCTCCAATCCAGTGCTTGAAGTCAGTGTTGGCTCTAAAAATCTGGTATTGGGTTGAAAAAAGACCCAAAACAAAACAGTTAAATCAGTTTTTTTTCTCCTCCAGGCTTTCGGAAATGCCAAAACTCTGAAGAACGACAACTCCAGCCGCTTCGGGAAATACATGGACATCCAGTTCGACCACCAGGTAAACTGAGAGCGTTTAGCTGAAGATCTGATGAGCTTTACCAGAACTGACTGTCCTCTCAGGGTGGAGCCGTTGGCGGCCACATCCTCAGCTACCTGCTGGAGAAGTCCCGTGTGGTTCACCAGAACCACGGGGAGAGAAACTTCCACATCTTCTACCAGCTGGTGGAGGGAGGAGAGGAAGACCTGCTTCGCTGGCTCGGCCTGGAGAGGAACTGCAAGAACTACCGTTACCTTGTGCAGGTCAGGTGGAAACAAGTGAAGGAGGCATGAGGTGCGTGCAAAATAGTTCTCATTTAGAGTTTGAGTTTCTCTGCTTGCAGGGGGATTGTGCCAAAGTTAGCTCTATCAATGATAAACGTGATTGGAAGACAGTCAGGAAAGCCCTTTCTGTCATAGACTTCAGTGAAGGTGAAACAGAGGTGAGGAGACCTTGAAGGTTAAATATGTTTATTATACAGCATATTTGACATTTCTGGGGTTAATCTGTTACTGTTTTCCCCTCTCGGCTTCATGCAGGACCTGTTTGGAATCATTGCTAGTGTTCTCCACTTGGGAAATGTAAAGTTTGATGCAGATGCTCGAGGATACGCCACTCTCAACAACAACTCAGAGATGCAATGGGTGTCAAAGGTGTAAAAGTCAACATTCAACTTTCATGTATACCTTCAGAGAATTTAATGCTTTGTGTTTTTCTTTGTTCTTGCTGCGTAGTTGTTGGGGATTCCTAATCAGGTGCTACAACAGGGCTTAACCCACAGAAAGATAGAAGCCAAAACAGAGGAGGTGACATTTCTTAATCTTCAAAACAATTGATCTTTTTCTTGTTCATTTGCGATAATAAATCCACGTTATTTTAATGTTAAAGGTGCTCAGTCCCTTCTCTGTGGACCATGCAGTATACGCCAGGGACGCCCTTGCCAAAGCCATCTATGGACGCACTTTCAACTGGCTGGTCAACAAGATCAATGAATCTTTAGCTAACAAGGTGAACTCTAGTCTTGACTCGCTGAAAATGGGAGGGAATTAAATCAGCAAAACCCTTAAACCCATAAAACTGTGTGTACCATGCAGGACTCCTCCAGGAAAACCGTCATTGGTTTGCTGGACATCTACGGTTTTGAAGTTTTCAACGTGAACAGGTGAAACTTCACATCTGAGCAAATTATTTCAAGGCTAATACCCCCCCCCCAAAAAAAAATAAAAATAAATAAATAAAAAGAGACAAATCTGGCTTTGACAAGACCGACGGTTTGTTTCAGCTTCGAACAGTTCTGCATCAACTACTGCAACGAGAAGCTGCAGCAGCTTTTCATCCAGCTGACCCTCAAATCCGAACAGGAAGAGTACGAGATGGAAGGGATTGAAGTATTGTCTTTATTATTCACAAAGTGGAACTATTATTTTTAATTTCAGCTCATAAAGTTTAATAGCTGATGTTATTTTTGTAAACAGTGGGAACCTGTGCCATATTTCAACAACAAGATCATCTGTGATCTGGTGGAGGAAAAATTCAGAGGACTCATCTCTTTGCTGGTAAGAAAGACATAAAATAACTAAATGAATACATAACAAATGCTTTGCCAAAAACACACCGATTGATGTTTTTACGACTACAGGATGAGGAATGTTTGCGGCCCGGAGAGGCCACAGATCTAACTTTTCTGGAAAAGATTGAGGAAAAGATCGGCGGCCATCCTCACTTTGTCACGTGAGACTTCAAGCTTAGCAGGAAAATTAAAAATGCAACTGCAAATATTCTACTCATTTAAAATAAATGGGGTTTCCATTCGCAGCCACAAACTGGCAAACAAAGACACAAGAAAAACCCTGGACAGAGGAGACTTCCGTCTGCTGCACTACGCTGGGGAGGTTACGTACTGTGTCGTTGGTGAGAGACAAAGTAAAAAACATCTTTAGACACTTGAAACTGTGTTGCTACGGTTTCTTAAAGATGCAACTCAAAGTCTGTCAAACAAAAAAAAATACAGAATTGACTTATTTGTTATTCAAACATTTCAGGATTTTTGGACAAAAACAATGATCTGTTGTATCGAAGTGGAAAAGAGGTAATTTTTTTCTTAAATTTTGACATTATTTTTTATTTTATTCCATGCAAACAGATGTATTTAACTCAGAGGTCTTTTAAAGTTAAAGGGGCAATGTCATGTAAAATAAACTTTTTAGAGTTTTATATCATGTTATAATGTTATCCTCTCATCAAAGACATGCTCAGAGTCTTGCTTTGACTCATTCATGCATGTTTGAGAAATCCTGTAGTGTCCTGAGGCAGCAGGCAGGGGAGCAAAACGACCGGTTGGGACTAGAACCACCTTTTGGGCTCAGCTCCTCCTCTGGGCTGTGTCTCCAAGCTGAGCTTCCTCATCACAGAGCACACACTCACCCAGCCCTGTGCTGAAATGGGTGGGACAGAAGCGGCAGGAGGTTCTTAAAGAGACAGAGGCCAATTTCAAGGAGTTTAAAAACAGATATGATGAGAAGACAAGTTCAATTTCTATTTAAACATATAAACAACATTTCAATAACTGAAGGTGACATAGTTACTTTGTTATGGTATAGAATTTAAATATATGCTTGAGAAACACATAATATTGCCCCTTTAAGATTTTTGTTATTTTTACTGCTTTTGAATGCATAAAACTAAAGTCAAATTCTTGTTCTATGCACAGAAATCAGAATATAAATATACACACTCTGAGCACAAATGCTTTCTTAGGTTTTGTTAATTTTTTTTCTCTCAAAGAAAATGAATGTTTAACAGAAAATAACAGATGATAGTTTTGCTATTGGTATTCAGGAATCAACACAGTGCAAAACTGATGTTTAAAAGCTTAATCATCTAAATATTCTACTGTACATGAACTTTTGTAGCTATCAACAAGTTTCAAGCGACATCAGGCTGCATGTTTGCTTAGGTTTAAATAGGTTTCAACTTAATCAGATAATTTCCACAAACCAAACAATTATTTTAGCGAACTATTTAGAACTGGTGAATAAGCCTGTCACAAAACATAAATCTTAGCCTGAGTTAATCCTGTGCAGACGCAGTTCACAGTTGTTCCTCTCCTCAGGTCATGAGACAGTCCAAGAATGCCATCATCAAACACTGCTTTCCCTCCAACGAACCAGACAGCAAGAAGAGACCTGAAACTGTAAGGAACAGCTCAGGTGATGCTGAATGCTTCACTGACAGTAAAGTGAATGTTTTTCATCGACTTGTGACTGCTCAGGTGGTGACACAGTTCAAGAACAGCCTGGTTGGTCTGACGGAGATCCTGATGTCCAAAGAACCTTGGTACGTCCGCTGCATCAAACCCAACGAAGCCAAGCAGCCAGGTGAGACACCAGGTCTGACAGGAACGAAGCGGTCAGCTCAGAGCGTCGTGTTCGGATGATGACATGTGCCGGTGGCTTTGTGATCGTCAGGCCAGTTCGATGACGTGTTGGTGAGACATCAGATGAAGTACTTGGGGCTGATGGAGCACCTGAGGGTCAGACGGGCTGGGTTTGCCTACCGCCGTAAATATGAGATCTTTCTCCAGAGGTAAACTTTTTTTCTTTTTTCATTATTGGCTTTCGTGATATTTATTTTCTAAAGGCTGCACGTTGTTTGCTTGTTGCCACACATGCGACCCCCGCCGCTCGTCTCAGGTATAAGGCTCTGTGCCCAGACACCTGGCCCAACTGGAAAGGTACTCCATCAGAAGGTGTGCTGTGCCTCGTGAAACACCTGGGTTACAAACCTGATGAGTACAAGATGGGCAGGTAGACTCCAGCAGCTCTCACTCACTTTATTAATGCGATCTTACCTTACAGTTTGGATTTGATTTGACTTTTTTTTATCTCTAGAACAAAGATTTTCATTCGCCACCCGGGCACTCTGTTTGCAACAGAGGACGCCTTTCAGATCTGCAAACATAAGCTGGGTGAGAAGAGGCTTGATGATGTCACCTGTAATGCTGCAGTTCATATAATTTTATATCTTATCTGTCATTATAGCAACAAGGATTCAGGCCAAATATAAAGGCTACAGGGTAAAAGAGGACTATCTGAAACAGAAAGAGGCTGGTGAGTGACGACGTTTAAAGACTTTTTTCCAGACAAAATTAACTGTTAGTGAGTTTAAAGCAGTTTATGCTACTTTGACCAAAATAGCCACAAAGATTGAGAACTGTTGGAGGGGTTTGATGGCAAGGAAGGAGCGAGAGAGGAGAGCTTGGGCCGTCAAAGTCATCAAAAGGTAAACAAAAAAATCTGTCTGTAAAACACGATAAAGCAGCTAAATGTAAAATAACCTGTCTGTGATTTGTGCTGCAGGTTCATCAAAGGTTTCATGACCAGAAATCAGCCGGCCTGCGTGGACAACAGTGAGTACCTGGCCTACGTGAGGCAGAGCTACCTCGCACGGCTGAAGGAGAACCTCCCCAAAACCGTCCTGGAGAAAGACTCCTGGCTCACCCCGCCTCCTGTCATGAGGGAGGTGAGTGGCTGAAGCTGATTTAGCTCCAAAAGGCATCAGGGTGCAGGTCAGGTCAGTAGCTGGAGATTGTGACAGCCTGCTGCGTGTTTTGTAGGTCTCGCAGCTCTTGCAGAAGATCTACATTCGCAACATGGTGAGGAAGTATGTCAGAGGAATCAGCGCTCAGAAGAAGGCACAGGTACAGATCTCTATCCAACCATGTCATCAGGGTTTATTATAAGCAGATTCATAAATTCGTTCGTCAAATGAAACATGTTTAGATATGGATGCACTATAGGGTGATAAAGCAAAACAACTGGGCTGCCATCCAGAAAGCCTTATAAATAAAGAGTTACTCCCATCGGCACAAACTGTAGTGCACAAAAAAAGCTACAATAAAAGAAAATACCTGTGGATATGTAATGTTTTAAGTTTAAAGTATTTTTTGCTATGTTTTATTTCTGTTTCTAGAAAACAAGAGAATAAAATGAATATTTTTTTTACCTTGTTTTTCCTTCCAGCTCTCATTAAAAGTCCAGACCAGCTCCATGTTCAAAGGAAAAAAGGAGAACTATCCCTTTAGTGTGTGCCGACCATTTGTGGACACCAGAATTGGTAAGATTTGTTTAGGTTTTTTTTAAGTGGACTTAAATAATAATATGTATTATAATATTGTTACAATGCTAGTGATAAATTTTGGTTTTGAAAAAATAAAAAAATTGCAGAGCAGGAATGTTACAATTAAATGGATTTACATTTCCTGTATTTCTTCTCCATTCAGCAGCAGCACATATGATAAACCAGGCATTTTTAGATAACTTTAGACGAAAATAATGAACTTATGGTTTCTTTTTTTTATAACAAAGCTCTAGCAGACATAAACACGAAGGTCCTTCAGATGATTCAGCATGAACACATCAAGGTAAACAAATATTAGAATTCATGTTACACTTTTGTCTTTTTTTTTCTTTCACCCGGACTTGTTTGGATTTACTTTTATTTTCTGTCAGGATTTATTCATTGTAATAAGCTACAGTCAAAAAATACTAAAGTGAAATCCATAGTACAAAAGTATAGTAAATAAAGATAACTGTGCTCTTAGTGGAGTGTCATGTCCTTCACAGTACAGTGTGCCAGTGGTGAAATACGACAGGAACGGCTTCAGGCCTCGTCCCCGGCAGCTCATTTTCACCCAGGAAGCTGCTTACCTGATCGAAGAGGCCAAAATCAAGCAGCGGATTGATTACACCTCTCTGAAAGGTAACACGTGTCAAACCTGGGTATAACAGGTTAGATTAAAACAGCGATGTGGTTTTTAAAAGCTAACATTTTTTGTAGGCGTGTCTGTGAGCAACCTGAGTGACAACTTCCTGATCCTTCATGTCACATGTGAAGACACCAAACAAAAGGTACACTAAAAATAACTTTCAAGGTGATTGGTTGATTCACCTATAAAAACAAGTTTAGAAAACAGAAACACATAAAGTTTAAGTGTGTTAATGTCAAACTCACATGGTGTGAATTCCGAAAATTTTTGTCTTACCTATTAAAAGAAAAGTATTTATTGGCAAATCAGAATGAATGAAACTCAATCTTAGAAAAAAAGGGCAAAAGGACTAACAAAAATGGGTTAAATTATCAACCCAATCAAAATATTTTTATTACGTAATTATTTCATCTTAGTTGTGCGATTTTTTTTCTCAGTAGTTTTAAAAGTTTGTTCAACTAGTTAGTTTTCAAATGTAGATTTGTGAATCTATTTAAGAAACACAATTTACCTATGTATTTCTAAGCCAGTGATTTAGTAATTAGTTGCTGTAATAAAAGCTGAAGGCTTTTTCTCTGTCAGGGAGATCTGGTTCTGCAGTGCGACCATCTGTACGAAGCCCTGACTAAGCTGAGTGTTACTGCAGACAAGCAGAACTGCATCAAAGTGGTTCAGGGAAGGTACAGAACATGCATCATATGAAGCAACGTCTTAATCAACACGAAGTAATCTCAGCTCAGTGTGCAAATTATTATTATTTTTTTAATGATCAGCGTGAGATTTGACATCCAGCCTGGCAGAGAGGGGTTTGTTGACTTCAAAAGTGGTCAGGAATCCATGGTCTACAGGGCAAAGAACGGTCACTTGATGGTGGTGAGTTTGGAGTTCATATAGAAGTTAATTTGTTATTAAATATGTGAACAACTAACTGAGCTCTCTGTGTTTTCTAGGAATCAACAAGAGCCAAGTCCAGATGAAGACGACGGGGCGTAACCTCGCTAATGGACCTCCTAAATAAACAGCCATGTTTGCTCTGTAATGCAGCAATGTAGATGTTTTTAATTAATTGAGTTTTATGGCAGCTGATCTTTAATTTAGCATCTTTAAGGTTATCTCATAATGTATGCTGTCACTGTACAAACACTGCCAATAAACATTGTAGAAAACATAGCGGAGACTGACCAGAAAAATATGTGGGTTGAAACGGTCTCTGAATAAACTTATGTAGAATCAAGGACAAACCATTTACTGATGTTAAATTAAATGTTTAACTGCTTAAGAATGACACGTTTTTATAAAGATGCAAAAATAACATGCAACTTCCAATATTTAGCTTTTCTAAACCATGTCAGTGTAAAAGCAGAACTGAACACATCATAGTTTATTAGATGACAGTGTTCCTGTGATGACTCCTCATGTAGCAGCGCCCCCTGCTGGCCACTTTCTGAAACTGCTGAAGTCTTCATGGCTTACAGGGAAAGCTTTGTTTGGTCACATAAAAAGAAAAAAAAAGAAGAAGAAGGGGAAAAATATATGCTGTCATGTCTGTGTTGGCGAATCATTATGCTTAAAATAGAAATAGTTTTAATTTCTTTTAGTTTATTTTTCTGTAATGCCCGTTTTCACTCATGTCGACGTCTTCACAATAGAAAATAAAATGTTGATTCTCTGAATAAATGACAGCTTGTCAGTTATTAGATTCCACTACATGCTGTAGAAAGAGTATTTTGATGTTACCATATCAATAACATGTTATATAAATAATAAATACCAAAATAAGCAAGCTTTGTTGTTTTAAAGCAGTATAAACTGTAAATTCAGCTGAACACTTCAGATTCCTAAAATATATTACTTGTTTTACTAATAAATAATGTCCCAAGGTGTTTTCTGTACTCAGAGTAGTTGTAAGGCCAGGAGTGAACTATGAGTGATTTTATTCTTTTGAAAGTCTCACAAATCTTTTGAACCCATCAAATAAACATTACTTTTTACATTTAAACAACTCAGTTTAGTGGAATCTGCCATAAATAAAATGTAATTTCATAGACTGCTTATAAAGATGTTTAATTGAATATCTCCACAACTCTTTTTCCATAATTTGGATATATTATGGAAAATAACAATGAGAACTTGACGGACCAAATGAGTTTCTGAACGTTAAGCGAACAACTCAAAATGTTTTAAGTCAGTGATAAATTTTTCTAACAAATTAATGGGAAAAGGTCAAACGGAGACATGGGATGTAACAGCTGAAAATATGACTCAGATTACTGATTAAACAGGAGTTTGTAAATGAACGTCATCAAAAGTCCAAGGTTTGAAAAAATGCTGAGCACGGAGCCGTTAAAAAAACAAAACCACCCATTGATCCGTGTGCAGCTGAAGCCTGAGGATGAGACGACTCGCAGCAATCACAGTTATCCTTCTGGTTTCATGGGTCTGCAGAACATCAGGCAAGTCATAACTAAATATTAATACTAATGTTTACTAAATTTACAATTTAGAATAAGTTTAAATGTTTCAGAAATGTATTTAGTCTATTTAGTCTCACATTTAGCCTAAGCTTTGAAACAGTAAAGATGCATTGTTTCTTTCAGTAAAATATTAAGTTATGGACGTTTATAAACTAGTCCAAGAACAGCAATAAATTTCTGCTCAGTTGTGTATTGGTGTCATTTCTCCAAACCTTGAAGAAAGCACCCGGTCTGGTTTCTGTACAGAATGAACTCCAAGTTCTCATCTTCAATCAGTTCTTTGTCCTTGAACTGGTTCTTCCTCTGACTCCCCAGAAAATATAATGAACTGCAGACAATGTTCTGTTTGTACTTGTTTTTGCACAGAGATGATAAAACCTCTAAAGTCAACATTTCTTAGAGTTCTGATAAACCATATTTTAGAAGAAAATACAATTATGCATTTAGAAAGATGAAGTTTTCTAACACTTTGCACACATCTTAAGGTAAATCATGATAGAGAGCACACCAGCTAAGTTGTTTGTATATTCACTTTTTATCAAATAGTTTTAGTTATCTTGTTCCAGTCTTAGATAGTTTATTTTTTATTTATGTATAAGAAAAGATACGTTCAAAAACCTAAACTTGTTGATTCAGTTTGATGTATTTTGTTTTGTTGTGACTCATAATGAAATCAATAATTATAATCTGATCTGAGTCCCACATTCAACCCAATGTAAGCTCTAGGATTTAATTGTTAAGTAAAATAAATTTACTCCTAAACCTAATCTTGATTTAGAAATCCTAGATATTTGTGTCTCGACTGTTACACATTTAAAGCATCTTTTAGTCAAATCTGCTCACTCTGTCAATCCAGCAGTAATTTCTCATTATTAGACAATCTGAGATCAGACAGAACCAAACGAAACTGTAAAACTATAGCTTGAGATATTGATTTGAATGCTTTTTTATTGTTTTTATGATTACAATGGCTCATTTTATTGGTTTTATGTTTGCTTTTGTGTGCTTTTATCAGCACTTTGACCAACAGTGTTGTTTTTAAAGTGCTTTATAAATAAAGTTGTATTGTATTGTATAGTTGTATTACATGGAAAATAATAGAGAAAAAAATCTTTGGGATTTTCTTCAAACAGGACAGACATGTGAAGGAAACTGTGGGGGAACCTTTGCCTCCTGCTCCTGCCACCCGACATGTGCGTCCCTGAAGCTCTGCTGCTCCGACTACAAAGAGTTCTGCGTGAGCACCTCTCCATACTCGGGCTCCATCATGGGTGGGACAGACGTTCTCGTCCTGGATGCGCGCTTTAATGGGAGTTCTCAGATTGTCTGCAGGTAACGGCACTGTTCTTGTCAGTATTTTTCTGTGTAGTTCTGGCCAACAAAAACAAAGTAGTTCAAGTTTTTACAAGAAACTCTTCTAACTGTTTCTAACAACAGGTTTGATAATAAAATTAGCACCGTGGGGTACGTGGATGCTGACGGCAGAGGCCACTGCATCTCCCCACTGTTATACGAAACAGGATGGCTTCCTCTGCACGTCTCCTCAGATAATGGAACTACCTTTAACAGAGCTGGATCCTGGTTCTCAGGTAACACGACTGAATTAAAACACTTTAAGAGCGGCGTATTCAAATGTTCAAATGGTGTTAAAATCCATTGTCCTCGTGTGCTGCTGCAGTGCATACAGGCAAGTTGGACTCTCAGTTTAAAGCTCTTCTGGTCAACTCAACAAGGTGGCAGTACTACGGCACGCCTGATGTCAGGGGTGCACTTCAGATGATCTGGAATACCTCTTTAGTAAAGGCAGAGAAGGTCAACATAGAGCTTTGGGGTTACAGAGAGATAGGTGAGGAAATTTAGATTGACTTTACAAATGAAACGGTTGAAAAAACACTATTTAATGTTCCTCCATAGGAGAGCCCTACTCAGAGAACTGGCTGGGTGAATGGCATTATCTGTATTCACTTGCTAAGGATCACCCCAACAATGGCTCCTTCAGCTTTGTGCCCAAACCAGCAGAGGGCGAATTTTCAAGTTGGGAGCTTGGCTCGGTCCGAGTTAGCTCCAGTTACTACTCTGAGGGCTTGTGGTATGAGCAAAACCTCCCAAAGCTCTGTCTGATTATAGTCATGAAGAAGCAGGTAACAGCTGGGTTGTGTGTGTTTCGTTCAGGAATGTCGAAGCTGCGTGGACTGAGGATCATGCTCTGGCCTGGCATCTGGAGGAAAAGTTCAGGCAGAACTCCGCCGCTTGGGCTCTGGAGAAATGCTTGGAGTGGGACCAGCTGGAAAACCAGCTTCCCAGCTTCCTCAGCGAGATCATCGACTGCCCCTGCACTCTGGCTCAAGCAAGAGCCGACACCGGGAGGTTTCATGTAGGAGAGTTTTTTAAAGATCTGACACTAGAAAAAAAGCTTACTTGAAAACAAGTCTTCAGAAAAGCAAAGTTGTCATCAAAGTAGAGAATTGCATTTCCTGCAAAAATGCAGTGTGATAAAGATTTTTGCTGTAAGCTGCCGAAGAAGCTGAAAATGTTTAATAGCAGAACTGTTAATCTGAGTTCAGTTTGAACGACTGACATTTGCTGAAAGTAGGGGAAACAAAGAAAATCAGTGGGAAAAGAGCAAAGATTAGTCAAAAAGGCCGAACAGAGCAGAAATGTAGCTAAAAGTAGCAGAAACAAGTTGGATTTAATAGACATGTGGTAAAAGGAGAGCAAAATAGCTGACAGTAGCAAAAAAGAGAAAAAAGTAGAAAAAACAGTGAAATTTGTGATAAAATACCTAAAAAGCTGAAATTAACACAAAAACTAAGAAAAAGCATACTTTTGTTGAATTAAACAGTAAGAAGCTGAAATTATTACATAAAGGTGAAATTAGCAGAAAAAACTAAAACTTAGCTGAAATCAGCTAAAAAGTAGGTTAGCATAAAACGTACAAAAAAGTTTGAATCAGTAGAACAGCCAAAAGGAACAAAAAACTTCAAATTTAGCAAAAAATAAAAAAAGGAAAAAAAAAGCAGAAGCTGAAATTAGCCAACGTAGCAGAATCAGAGTAAAAGGTAAACAGTTCAGCACAGATTTAAAAACATTTTGAAGGGTTTTAAAGAGGTTGAAAACAGCCCCATTTATTTTCAATGAGAAAAAAAGCGACCAAAAAAAAAAAGTTCAAAAAAGATGCTGAAATCCCAAAAGTCATATCACCCATGGCATAAATGAGTGTGAATGCTTTATAAGCATTTATTGCATGATCAGCACAAATGCACATGGAAAGCAAAATCTTTACAAGCTCTTCAAAACAAAACAAAGTATGCCTTTTTATTTTACAAATGAGAGACAATAAAAATGTGTGAGGAACAAATAAATTGGCGCAGGCTATAAAAATGGGCAAACTTTTATTTGTGCAAAAAGCATAAAAAACTTCAGATGACCTAAAAACAGATCAGAGTTTTGAAATCTCAATTTGTTCAGAAAATCCTGTTATTACTGAATTTGTTCATGATTTTGTAGCCACGGTGCAGCTGTTTTATTATCCCTCATTTCTTGTTTGTTCAAAGTCAAGAAGATCTCCTCTATTTATGGGTTTTTATGGCAACATATCTTCAAGCTGCAACGCAGATTGTACTTCTTTTATTAAAACAAGTGAGGTCAAAGTCAAGGTTCTGACTGCTGATGTGCAGCAAACACAGCTGCACCTGGTTACACCTGATTACCACTCAGTATAACTGTGAAACTGATGGGTTTGCAGTTGAAGCAAAACTTTTTTATCACATCATCAGAACTCTGCTGCACCTGACATGCTAAAAACTCTCTTTGTTTGAAGGAGCTCTCTGTTAATTAACTTGATCTCACAGTGAAATCCAGAGAAGGCCTCATGTAACAAACTGTATCTGTCCTCAGACTGATTATGGATGCGATATAGAGAAAGGGAGTGTGTGCACCTACCATCCAGGGTGTGTTCACTGTGTGAGGGCCATACAGGCCAGGTGAGTCCCTGCTTCATTAAAACTAATTCTTTCTCTATTAGAAGGTAGCGTGATGAGTTTAAAACATTAATTTCATTGGAAATCTGTTAATGTTATTCCAGTGGCAATTAGAATGCAAACTCTTAGTACAAATTACATGCATACAAATACAAATTATTAAAATTCTGTCATTTTTACAATGAAAAAATGGCTTGCTGTGTTCTCATGCAAGTCAATCAATTTAAAATTGCAAATAAATTGTTAATGGAATATTTTAAGTTATTATTGCCAGTAAGAATAAGAATAAATGAATAAAAGCAGTAGCATAGTTATTAGGTTTGATTATTTTTATTATGTCCATCTTTAACAGAGTTATTTGAAAAGTTTGCACATGTAAACCAGTCATTTCTGGGGTCACAAGTTTTGTGGGCCGGAACCTAAAAAGTTTGAAAACCACTGGTTTAGATGACTGAGTCGAAAAAGACAGAAATACTTTATGATACCATGCTAATTATTAATTTCTCCAAGTTTTGACACTTTGTCCTGAAAATATAGTTCCCAAAACTGCTGCCTTCATGTTATTTATCTTCTGATTCGTGTAGTGAAAAGGCAGGATGAAGAAAGGTCCTGCAGGTGTTATAAAACATCCTCCTGAGTGTTTTGTGTGTTTCTAGTCCCAAGTACGGCGCGGGACAGCAGTGTTGTTACGACAGCACCGGTGCTCAGGTCCTGACTGCAGACTCGATTGGGGGGAGCACTCCAGACCGGGCTCATGACTGGGGGTCCCCTCCTTATAAGAAGCCCCCTCGAGTTCCGGGACAATCCCACTGGGTTTATGACGTCCTCAGTTTTTACTACTGCTGCCTCTGGTCTGATAACTGTCACTTCTACTTCAAACACCGGCCCTCCAGTGACTGCAGGCAGTACCAGTCACCCAGCTCTGGTACTGTTCTCAACACTGCAGAATGGGTTTGACGAGCTTCGTTGTTTTTGTATTAATTCACAAAAGGACCTTTAATTTCAGCGGTGGTGTTCGGAGATCCACACTTCATAACCTTTGATGGCATCAGCTACTCGTTCAATGGAAAAGGGGAATACTCTTTGGTCATCTCAGAGCAGAAACAACTGGTGATCCAAGGCCGAACGGAGCCTGTGGATGGTGAGCAAACAACACACATCCTTTTTTCAAATCTTATTCTTTTCTATATATTATGGATGTGATTTTAACCCCTCCAGGAGCGATGATAAACGCAACAAAGTTGACGTCCGTAGCCATGAGAGAAGCCACCTCTGATGTTGTAGAGGTGCGTTTGGATCGAGCACATAAAAGTCTGGAAGTGCTGCGAAACCAGCATACCCTCTCGTTTTCTGAGCAGAGCTGGATGGACCTCCATGGTGAGGTTTCAGAGGCATCATCAGTGGAACACAGCTTCACAGCATAGCAACGTTGTTCCTTTTCTTACCAACTCCTCCAGGTGTGTTCGTGTTCTCGCCCACTCCTACCAACGTGACCGTGATGTTCCCGTCAGGAGCCGGGGTGGAGGTGCGGCTGAGAGACGTGACCGTGACGACCACTGTCCTCCTGCCAGAGGAGTTTAAAAGCTCCACGCTGGGCCTGCTGGGGAAGATGAATGGTGATGCCACAGACGACCTGGTCTTCAGCACCGGGCAGCTTGTGCAGAACCCCAACGATCCAGCTGAGCTGTTTAACTTTGGGGCGAGCTGTAAGAAACCTCTGCAGAGAGAGTTCTGTAACAGCCAATGGGATGTGTTACAGTTCTCATTAGGAAAACCATCCATTTCTCATGTTTTTTTTTTTCCAAACAAACAAAATGTTCTGATACGTCTACATGTTTATTCACTTTTATCTTACAGGGGCTGTGTTGAACACATCTGCCCTGTTCACATATGACTCAGAATATCTTCTGACCACATTTTATTATGAACTCAGACACGATAAGAGTTTTTTTCCGGTGTTTTCTGTCCCTGAGGATCCAGACGACCCGCTGACTGATCAAGCAGCTGACATATGTTCAGGAGAGGGCTCTCAGTTCTGTAGGTATGAGATGCTGAAGCTTTTAAAGAGATAAATCCATTATTTTAACACAAAGGTCAGTTTTTTGGTCACTGATAAATCAAATAATATATGGATATTTGAAGGCTTACTTATTCTACTGTAACTGACAAGCAGTGAATATTATCATTACCTGTATATAACTACAGCATCATGACGAAATACAGGGGTTTTGCCTAAAACTGTTTTTATCTGAATTATTGTGAAATGTGTTTTTGAGTTATTTTTAGTTATTTGTTATATGTTTTTATTCCTATTAATTCTGCAATTTTGCAGGTATGATATCCTGGTTGGTCGAAGTCCAGCGATGGGAAATGCAACCAGAGTTTCATTTCAGAGTCACATTTCTCTGACGAACGATTTGAAACAAGGTAAAATAGTTTGAAAGTATGGAGGACCAAACCTATCATTATTGGAAATAAATGTATAAATATATAACTGGCGTATTAAAATAAATTATAGGG